TAATTCTGTGTGTTTTTAAGGTTCAAAAATTCATTACAGGTCTTGGAGCAAACCAGGATCAGAAGGATAACAATACTCCAAACCCCACATTAGCTTTGGACATGCAAATTAGGTTGTTTCCCTTCCAAATACCGCTGAAACAAAAACCTGGTGTAACCGTTTATTTAGCTTTCTTTAAGTATCCAAAATTCTTGCCTGCTTCTTTAATACAAGACACAGGTTCTTATGACCTTGCAATTTATAATACTGTAAGCTGACATGGAATAGTGTTGCACTCAGATAAAAGGGGGGAATTCAGAGAGAATGTAGCATTCTGTAAATGTCCTTGCCTAATGGATAGTTACCCCTCCGTTTTCATGGTTACTGCTATTCCCCTGGTAAAGTGGGACAAGGAGAGGATTCGAATAGAAGAAAGGAATTAGAATGAAACCTCCACTTTTACTGTGGATCTCTTGGTCCTTTTAAAATAAACTCTGACCTCCTGATTAGCCATGGAAGAAACAGCATTGCAAAAAACGCTCATGCTTTCCTGCTTTTCAAGATACAGTTCAATAAGGATTAGTTGCCAATGTTCTACATTAAGAGATTATGTGCAATTGCCCATCCTCCGAGACCAGGCAGGCAACTAATGGCAAGTTTTCTCTGTGGTGGCTGTTCCCCCACCCCTCCCGAGATGTTTACCTGGCACCGTATTTGTTAGTGTAGACAACAGGCCAAAGGTATCCTGTTCTCTGAAACTTTCAAGAGTCCTTTTCTGTGACAACACCCCAACTGCAGAATGTGTTACCGCTTGAGAATCGCCAGGCTCTTACTTGGCTGAGTTTTAGGCACCCGGCAAAGACCTTCCTTTCTCAGCACCCCTTTGGTGCTACTTGCTCACTTGACTAACTGCACTCTTTTTAAACATACTGTATTTGTATTTAATTAGGCACATTATGATTTCATCCTGTTCTACTTTGGTATTTTAAATTGTGTTGGTTTTATCCAATTCTATTTTATTTGGTATTTATTACTGTAATGGCCTCTCAGTGGAAAGCTTTCAAACGAATTCAGCAAACAACAAATGAGATTCTTTGGTGGAGTTTGCTGTTTTTATCTCACTCTGCTGCTTTGTGTATTGCATTTTTTAACTTAAAGACTTTATCTGGCCTGTTAAAACTGCCTTGTAGAAGAAGGTGGGATAAGCACCCTATGAATAAAACAGTGGCTAGAGTGCTGGGTTTAATGGAAAAGTCCACCCAGTCAGAGTGCTCACAGCACAGCCTTGGTCAAGTTTCACAGTGATTCCTTCCCTCTGCCAGATGTGTCACAGAGCTGTGAAAAATAATAAAATAAAGTAAAATAAAATGAGAGGGTCCGATGGACAGAAGACCTAACTCTGCAAGATGAAAACAGGAGGCAGACTAAGGAAGTGAGCAAAGCCAGCAAATGCTCCCCTTCCCACGCGGGAAACATGCGATACCCTCATTCAAGGAGGATGTCATACAACACGCAGAAGAACTTCTCTCGTGGAAAACGGAAAAGCCACCAAGTGTTACTTCTGCCCAAAGCATGCCAGATCCTTGTTCCACCCTATCCAATCTGCAAGACGGATCGAGCAGCCAGGGAGCCTCAGCAAGGCCAACGGAGACACGCTGAAGCTGGCAGGCCGGCGTGACTCGTGGCCAGGGAGGCAAGGTCTAAGAGAGGAGCAGGGCGGCCTTGGTTAGAAAAATACCCCACAGGCTACAAGCAAGGCAGTTCACTCCAAAATGGCTAAAATTCTGCTTAAGCTTCACATTCCAGCTTCCAGAAGCAGCTCCAGGCATGACTTTGCTCATCACATCACTTTGGCATCAGACCATGATTAAAGTCTGGTTACTACAGCAACGCCACACTTATTTTTCTTTTAAAGGCCCATGTATCTTTTATCGCAGGGAATCGGCTGCTGTTCAATCCTCCCTTTGTAAAAATGCCCTCATCAGGAAGATGACTAACACAACATAAACCACAAGTGGTTTGATAATGGGGTAAAAATGATATAAAAGGAGCTGTCAAGACTCTCTCTCTCTCTCTCTCTCTCTCTCTCTCTCTCTCACACACACACACACACACACACACACACACACACACGGAGGCAGGGCAGACTTCTATATCATTATGGTGGAACACTGACAGATAACTGGGGTGAGTTCATTGTTGCAATCTGCCAGAATTTAAATTATTGTCAGTGTCCCAAAGCCATCACAAAAGTCATCCTAAACGACTTGAGGAAATGGAAGGCAACCCAAGCTTGGCCATGTTTGGCTGTTTTGCAGTTGGGGAGTATTCTTGTTGTTTTTTTTTTTTAAGGCGGGGTAGGAGGGTAACAGATTTGTGCTATCCATGCTCATTTCCACCAAAAAAAAAAAGGGGGGGGGAGCATATAGATGTCCCATCACTTTACAGCAGCTGTTTCTGCAACACAGACAGATGTTGATGCCGTGAGTTATAGTCATATAAACCACTGGCCTAATTTGGCAATTCCGGAGAGGGAGGGAAGGGCATGCAGAAGAAGCTTGGAGTGTTTTAGGGGAGTATACTGCCAAAAGAAAGTTAAGCATGCAGAGTTGAGAAAGACATGAAAATCGATCAGCCAGGAGGCTGCTGTGCAGTGCAAAGACTACTGTGTCAAGTTCGGATGCTGAGCTCCCATTTCCAGAGTGCCTTTACAACAACCGATGCTGAAGAACCCGCCCATACCCATTTCTAGTACTGCTCTCACTGCAGAAGCAGCTGGCTCAGAACAAAATGGCCACAGACCAAGCCAAACTGGGGAAAGGCGACTGAGCCATATAAATCACAGGGAGAGCACTGATCCTCAGTTGGAAGGTGCCACTGCAACCCTGTCCAAGAGATGCCATCATCATTTCTGCTATCATCTCTCTACCACACAAGGAGGCTGCAAAAGAAACCCGTGAAAAGCTAGTCCAAGAAAGGATCTGGCAGATTTGATCGTGCACTGAAGTCCCACATTTTTCCCATTCTTCCCAGCTTGTAAGCCTCCTTTATCCAGTGCCTCCTCTCTCCAAGAGACTCCTTTCTCCAAGATCACTTGACAGCAGCCATTCTGTCTGCCTACAGCAGAATGAAATAGGAAATAGGGCCCACTCCACTGACTGGAAGAAAAAGAGACCAACTCCAACTCTTCTTTCCCCTTTAGAGATAACTCAAGAAATCCAGGTTTTTGCAGGGGAGTCAAAATCTGGTAGACTGGCCCAGCTCAACCCTCCAGATTCCACTCTGTCAACACAAGTTGAGTCTGCATGCAGTACCCTGTTGTTTTTTTTACCTTATTTGAAGCTGTGATTTGCATTTTTTAAGCTGCAGAACTTTAGATCAATTTGTTGCCAGAATTTAGCCAAACTGTGCAATTTAAAAGCAGAAGCACAAACAGGAACGACAAAGAAATCCAACTTGGTTCAGTTTCAGCTTTAACTCAGCAAGGTGTTTAAAAGCCATCTTGGCACAAGCAGGTTGAGTTTCTCACCGTCATCCATCCCTAGTTTCAATTCCAGCTGAAATTATACGGCTGCAAGAATCGTTTCCGAAGTTTGCTTCTTATACAGGAGGAGAGCACAAAAGTTGGCTTGAAACTCAACATTAAGAAAACTAAGATCATGGCATCAGGTCCTCTCACTTCCTGGGAAATAGATGGGGAACAAGTGGAGGTAGTGACAGATTTTATTTTCCTGGGCTCCAAGACCACCGCAGACAGGGACTGCAGCCAAGAAATTAAAAGACGCTTGCTCCTGGGGAGGAAAGCTATGGCAAATCTAGACAGCATACTAAAAAGCAGAGACATCACCCTGCCAACAAAAGTGCGTATAGTCAAGGCTGTGGTTTTCCCAGTTGCAGTGTACGGCTGTGAAAGCTGGAGCATAAGGAAGGCTGAGCGCCAAAGGGTTGAGGCCTTTGAATTGTGGTGCTGGCGGAGACTCCTGCGAGTCCCTTGGACCGCAAGGCGATCACACTGGTCAGTCCTAGAGGAGATCAACCCCGACTGCTCTTTAGAAGGCCAGATCCTGAAGATGAAACTCAAATACTTCGGCAACCTAATGAGAAGGAAGGACTCCCTGGAGAAGAGCCTAATGCTGGGAACAATAGATGGCAAAAGAATTAGGGGATGGCAGAGAATGAGGTGGCTAGATGGAGTCACTGAAGCAGTTGGTGTGAGCTTGAGTGGACCCCGGGGGATGGTGGAGGACAGGAAGGCCTGGAGGAAGGTTGTCCACGGGGTCGCGATGGGTCGGACACGACTTCACGACTAACAACCACCACCACCACCACCCACAGCAGTATAACCCTGCCTAGAGCAGTAACCAGACACCCATCTGTCTAATCAATGTTTTGCAGATTTGAATGTTACAGATCTCTGTATTAATGCACAGGTAAATCATATGAAGACAGGCAGGTGGTCCTTCCAGCTGTGAAGAATTTTAAAGGTCAAAAGGATCATTCTGAACTGTGCCCCGGGAAGCTAACTCTAAGCCAGTGCTATGGATTCTTATGACACCATCTGACCTGTTCCCCATTTATATCCTGTCCTGCCACAGCAAGGAGTCCTCCAGGCACTGCACCTTGCTGTGCACAGTGAAGAGTCGCCGCACAGCATCAGTTGCCTTGTCTTAAATATTTCAGCTGGGTGTTCTTCAGCCCTGTAACATAAAACTTCCCCCACTGAGGAATGCAGGCGACAGTCGCTGGGTGCTCATGCATTCAGGAGAGTAACATGGCCTAAGATAACCCTAACCATGACTTCCTGGCAGGGTTGGCTGACCCGAAACATTTCACAGCCTCAGGCCAAGCACAAAGGATGGCCACTGGCCCAGAGAATCCAAAGGCCTCTGCCTTCTGAGCCAAGAGGCAGAAAATCCCATAAGCACCTTTCCTCTTCCCTGGCAGAAGTACAACCAAATAAATCACTAAAAATAATTCCCCTTTATAGCACCTAAAATCTGCTCCCTCCTGTGGCTTCCTACCTATGCCTTACGGTACAGCTGGCCCTCCACTGATCATATGAAAAACACTTTCCGTCTTCTTTCAAAGCTCGCGAGGAAATCCGAGTCCTATGAAAGTCACAATTTTACAGACATCATTTTGAACAGACGTCTCAGTTGTTAGGTTACCTGTCAATCAGGAGAAAATTGCATAGGTTTCACTGCGGTTATGTAAGTTGCAACAAGTCCAGTTAATGTTGAACTACAATAATCAGACCAAAACTCTGCAGGGTGGGGGGATCTCAAGCATTTGTAAACTGCCCAAGCGATCTAGTTCATGGTTAAGTTGTAGTATATGGCATTCTGAACTCTGATGAGCAGTCTGCCCTAAACTACATTATCTGTGACTATGTTAAAAGAAAGAGCGGAGTTCATGTCTGCTACCAAAAGAAAAACTGAAGGTTCAAGTGGAGGCAACAAAAGATCCTCTCTGTTTAATACCTGGAATGCTGGCAGCTGTCACACAGTCATAAGGTAGAACATAAATCATTTTTCTTTGAGCGTTACATTCCAGCAGACCAGTAAACCAAAGCCGATGCCTTAAAATTTAAATAAGCCAGAAACAGTAGCAGCAAATGTCATGCACTCCTATGTTTTTCTTTGCAGTAAGTTTAGGGAAAACATGAGAAGTGTACTTCTTTGAAACCAGAACAGGGCCTGCAGGCATGACTCATTCTTGCCAAGCTGCTGAAGCAGCATGTTGGCTCCAAACATCAAAGGCACCTTACACAAATGTATTTATTACAGAAAGCTGGAATTCAATCTGATTGTACTGCTTTGTTTTCCTGTTGCATGTGGCACAGCTGGCTTTATCATTCTTCTACTCGCTTATGGTCTTTGTTCCGGGTTAGTGCAGAAAGCGTGCCCCAATTTGGGGACCGTTCTGGCTTTGCGGGGAGAGAGGAGAGAACAATGCAAAAGCTAAGACCCACGAAACCACACCTACTGTCAGCGGCTTGGCTATTCCCTCATTCGTCACCCGGTTTCATCCTCATCTGGGCTTGCATCTGCGCGATCATCTCCTGCATGCGACGCAACTGTGAGGGAGAAACAAACATGTCATGTCAACGCCAAGCTGCATCTACCCTCTCGCAAACCCTGTGAAGCAGGTTAAAGCCAAGAAGGTGCATGTGATGGTCCATCCTTCGTGTTTTGGGGTGGGGCAGGGATCTGAACCCAAAGCTCCTCATCATAGTCCAACGTTCTAGCCCAAAGCTCCCTTTCGGTGTGCTGGATTAAAAGCTGGACAAAAGGATTAACAGCATGGAGGGAAAGGGGAGTAAATTCCAGATGCTGGAAGATTTATTAGTAGGCCCAATGTGTTTCAGAGGTTCTATACATATCCCATTTCATTGAAAATATGAAATAATCCTATACATATACTGCGTAGCTACACCATTTGATTGCATTCCATTTTCTCACTGCCTCTCTCTTTCTCTGTGTTACATAGCAGCACAAAAGGCTTTCCGGATTAGCGTAACCAGCAACCACGGCCAGCCTGGATGGCAGCTTGAGGTGATGGGAGCCGTAACCCAACACTTCAAGAGAACACAATGTTGGGGAAAGCTGGGCCGGTCACTACAGCAGAAAAGACTCCTGAGTGGTTGCTTTGTCTGTGTCTACACACACTAATTCGTTTCAGATACCACTAATGAGCTCACACTTCAACAGCCTACTTGAAAGGTCTCCCTTTGGCCGGGAGGGCTCCGGGACAGGCATCTCTGGTTGACCCTGCATGCAGCTGACAAGATCATCGAGACCCACGCGTTCAGCAGCAAGAGCAAAATCGTTCCAGGGTGAGCAGCTCTGCCCTACGTTCCGTGCAAAGCATTGAAATGCTCCTGTCTCATGACGTTTACTTGACAAGGAGGGGAGTGAGGAGCCTCTTATAGACACTCAGGGTAGAAAGTGAACTCGGTCTTGCTTTTTGCAACCGCAGCCTGCCTTCAGCACGCCATGGGCTTCCAGACAAGCATGTGCATTCCCATTATTATTGGAGAAGAGGCGGCAGAAAGAGCAGAAGTGGGGACCGGGCTTCAAAATCTCTGGAGGAAGCAAGCTGCAAAGAGTGGGGAGAACCCAGCAGCATCCCCTTCCCTGACACAGGAACAGTAGATGCTCAGATCAGCCTCACCTTCAAAGTCTGGCCTACCACCATCCGTAAGAGAGTCGTAGCCACTTGCCCCACCTGTCCTCCCTTCCCCACCAATCCCTTGGTGGCTCCTCTAAGCTCATGCCATTTTCCCCAGCATGGAATCCCACTGCATTTATTAAAACAGCAAGCAAATCGTGTTAGCTACAAGTAAGTGTAGGTCAGCCCATGTTCCACCTCACAAGACATTTCTGGTCCAGCCTGCATGGCCGAAAAGGAGATGATTCCCTCTCACCTACATCAAGGTCGGTCCAAGTGGAACCCGTGGGCAACATGCAAGCTCCCAGCTTTCTTTGGGGGCCTCCACTGCCCCCCCCCCCCGAGGCTGCTCCTGTAGTTGGCACGGAAACGGTGGCAGCTGGGAAATCCCCAGTGATCTGACCCGAGAACAAGGTGTGGAGGAGCTGTGCTTGAAGTGATGGCGAGCGAGTGGCCGGGGGAGGCAATGGGTACCCCACCCCCTGCAGGCTACCAACCACGCTCTAAGCCCAGTTCATGCCAAGGGCTACAACTACACCGTGGGAGCTTTGCAGAAAACACCACGCCAAGGACACCGGTAAAAGACACCGCTATGAGGGGGGCTAAATTGGAGTTGTAACCCAGAACCGTGAGAGAAACGGCAACCTTGCCTCTGGGCAGACCGAAGCACTGGAGCGGGAGGGCAGGATGACGCTCGCGCCCTCGCCGCAGATCTGGCCCCTCCCACATGAGAAGAGGGCGATGGGTGAGGCCGCACTGCCTGTGAGCAGCTGGCCAGCACCAGAGCCCAGCTGCTGAGCGCAGCTCCTCCTGTGACCCTTGAAGGCCAAACGCACCTTCCTACTTGCAATTCCGGGGGACCAGCTCATACAAACTGAGAGAGGATCGGCCCTGCACACCTGCACACCTTTTCACCCTATCTTTTGAAAACTGCCCGGATAGCTTTGGCCAATGGGCGGTGCAGAAATGCCCTTGTGTTTTTCCCAGCCTTCTGCCGGTCTTGCTTTTCTCTGCCCCTTCTCTTGCCTCTGCTTAAAATGCAGGCTCTTCCGGTGGGCAGACCTGTCCTTTGTTTGGATGATAACAATAGTACAGGGATAGATGCAAAAGCATTATAGTACCTGAACTTCTGCATCTCATCACTAGCAATAGGCTAGGAAGTCCAGGCAGCTATTCTGTGGTAGAAGGTATGGAGTACTTGAAGTCTGACACAAGCAAGGGGGGAAAAAGATCAGTCAGCACTGCTTTGAACGAAGGGAAGGGAAGGGAATGGAAGGGAAGGGAAGGCCAGCCCTCTCCAGTCAATGATCTTGTTAGCCAAGGAAAACTAGAGGACAGAAATAGCCACCTCTTTGCTAATAAAATCCAGTGGACTGTAGGGTGAAGGACCCAGAGAATTTCAGGCCATGAAGCAGCCAGTAACAGGAAGACGTTCCCACGATGCTAAATATGAGCTTTGGTATTCAAGGTATTTTTAACTAGCCACTAATCTTCAGGCGTTTGAGCCAGAAAAACCCACATCCATTATCACAAACTGGCTTAAATTATTATTTCAAGTCTCCCGCGGGAAACTTTCTTTCATGGAACTTTTTCTGGGTATCATAAAAGCTACATTCTTCAAGTGTGACAAGATGCTGCGTTAGTGTTATTTTTGTATTTAGAACTGGCTGAACCATTGGGTTTTTTAAATTTAAAATCAAGCATGAAGAGGGTCTGAAAATCACCAAAGGGTGGGGAAGGGTGACCTGCCACCCACCAAATGTTTTGGACTACAAATCCCATCACCCTGAAACAGGATGGGAGTGGGGAAAGTTGTATGGCAACGTATCAAGAGGAGGAATTTGCTTTATGTCTCCAATTTTATATTTAATTGTACTGTTGATTTATTTATGTTTGTAAGCTGCCCCCAGGCTTTGGCGAATGGGGTGGCATATAAGTCTAAATAAATAAATAAATGGGGAAACTATTGTCCTGTTTTCAACTATAAAATGGCTGACAAATGAAGGTATGGGGACATTTAGCTCTAGCTCTCCATTGGGCCACCTTATTTACAGCCAACTGCCCACCCTTCACTTGCACCAACTCACAATACAATCCATTGCTTAAAGCACTTTTTGCTGGAGATGCCGGGGACCAAACCTGGTGCCTCCCAGCAAGGGGAGTTGCGACAGTCCTCCAGTGTGAGGGCAGCCATGCTGAAGCTGGAGCCGAGCGGCTCTGTTACTCCAGAGAGGAGGACTCGAACTAGGGTGGAAACTTCAGGGGAGCAGAAGTCAGCTAAGACTTCGCAGGAGAGGGTGGGTTCTCCGTTGCTGGAGGCAGTTACACCGAAGCTTGGCAGCCACCTCATTGGGATGCTGGAACTGTACTCTTATGCAGAGTGGGCATCATAGGCCTCAGAAATCATCCAGTCCATTTATGAATCTATATTCCTTCCATTCAGCTAACACCCAGTCACTGACTAGAAGATAGACAGAAGGTGCATGTGTAGAAACCTTTTAAGTCCATTTCCCTGCTCGGCAGCTCTTAAGTACATATGCAAAGTTGTTCGCTATGATGTGCCAGAGCTTGAGGTATGGGGTAGTTAGCGTTTAATGCCCCAATTCTGATTTACATGGATTCCTTAAAAGTAACAAAGGGCTATCTTGTCCCCACAGTCCAAAGTAACAGACCTACCATGAATCTTTCTCAGTAGTGCAAATGCCTCACCAATTTGCTGCAGCAGGCTCAAAGTCACATCCTAGATATTTCTCTCATGCTATTGCTGATTTCTCAATGCATGAATATTTCACTGTATATTTAGCATCTGTAAGTTGTGCCCCTACTGTATTTGCTGCTTCATGTTAAATGTTACCCTCTGCCTCTCCCAGATTCCTACATTATTATGCATTTATCAGGCTCTGGGAATTTGACAATGCTCAGTCGTGTCCTGCACAGCTCCCCCTTGTGGCTTCTTAACTCTCGAGTAGCTATTTGTTTTGCTTTTTAAATTGGTAACCTTAAAAAGACGCAAAAGTCAGATTAACAGAAGCTGAAATATGAGCATGATACATATTAATTGGCAGACTGTTGCATAATATATTTATCACCAAAAACCCTTGCTCTGTGCTGGTTCAGGAAGCCAGTGAGTCCTCTAAACTATTTATCTGGCCAGGGCGACTTCTTTTCTTTTATAACTTTTCTTTTATAACTTCTTTTATATCGTTTATATTTGTTATTTATTTTATATTATTAATTTTAATTTTATATTGTTATTTTTGTATTGTGTTGTGTTGTGTTGTGTTGTAAGCCGCCCCAAGGCTTCGGCAAGGGGCGGCATAGAAATGTTCTAATAAATAATAATAATAATAATAATAATAATAATAATAACAATAATTTACAAGGTGAGTAAGAGCCCATGCTCACCAGTGGCACTGAGACAAAAGACAAAACCAGGGGAACGGCCACAGCAACAATGCAGACCGTCTCCAACACAAGTGGGGCAGATCCACAGCACGGCATGTTATGGAGGCTCCCAAAAGCACGAACACAAATTTATGATTCACGCATAAATAAATGAACCTATTTCTGTTACAGGAGACGGGAGCATGGGAGAACTGCTGAGTCTGAACTCTTGTAACAGAGAAGTACAGTAGATGTCTGAAGTTTACTGTGAGGGAAGGGGGAACACAGAGAATCCATGTGCCGTCTTGCTGCAAATTTTATGTGAAAAATAAAAGCTTGTATTTGAATTCTCCACCATGGCCAAGATGCCAGAATCTTTCACTTGCAAGAAAGCATGGAAGATGATTTCCTGTGAGATATATACTTAAGAGGGGAAAAGCTTGCCATTCCTTCTCACTTGAGTGACAGAGCCTGTTAAAGAGGCCAAAGATGGCAGAAGTACAAAAGTCTAAGAAAATGCAATCCATTCCCAAGCATGTCCACACACTCAGCATGTTCATTAGCTACAGACTACTGAATGTCTGTTGGAAAAGAAAATCTGGGAATGGAGTGAGGCTGAAATGCCATGCAGGAGGAGGGCCTGGCTCCCCTGCTTCCTGAGCCTGAGCCCTCCCATTAGGAGGTGAGGCTGAACTGCCACGATTTTCAATGTAAACAAAAACTCACGTGGTGCAAGGCGTACAGTGCTCAGGACTTCTGTGCGAAGTTCGAGGATGCTTCCTGGTTCTGGAAGGCCCTTGGGCAAGAGACCTTCTCACCACCACTGTCACCTGCTGCTATTACTCTTCATCTTCTTGCATTATTGCTAGCATCTGACTGCTAGACAGGCAGAGAGCCAGTAAACAACTCCACAGAGGCATGTACAGCTCCTCCTCCTGACTACTGCTGTTACCTAGCCCCGAATGAGAGCGAAGTGAGGAAGCAGAATGCAGTGTTGAACCAAAGAAGCAACTGTAGAGAGTCCTTATCCATGGACCCCTGCTGGCACCTTGACAACTGCCCAGCCATGCCTACCCGTGATGGCAACCAGAATGCAACGTATGCTCAGTTACCTCTTTCTTCTTAAAATGACCATGAAGCAGTAGACCTACTACTAATTCTCCCCCCTTCTGAAGCACCGTCCTGTTCTGCAATTACAAATATGTTCTGCATCTGGAGAAATGTGTTAAAAGGGAAGCTTGGAAAACAGAAGCCAGCTGTCCACAAAAAAAGCAAAAAAATAAATAATAATAAATGTACACATGTCAGAAATGGTCATGTAATGGCCGCTGAAGAAAGCAGCCAAGAGATTAATGGTTCCAACCAGCCAAGGACAGTGTCCTTTGATAAAATCCAGAATGATTATTTAGCAGAAGTGATGTCTTCAGCATGATGAGCCTGGCCTCTCCCCAACCCTACATTCCCCCCCGAGGTTATGTAAACCTTGCAGATCTGTAAATAGAACTTCAAGCACCATTAGTGCTCAGAATGTAAAAACAGAAAGGGAAATTGATGTTTGTGTTCTCAGCAAAGGCCAAGGAATGTTAGCCCATTTCCTCTGCCTTGCCCCCACCCCTCCAACCCTCTCCCAACTAGAGTCCCTCAGCAGACTGCTTTGGAGATAAAGAGATTTCGTGCCACCTTATCTACACAAGAGACTAAGCAAGGCTGCTTCATCTCCTAAGGGACGGCAGTCAATATTTAAAACAATTTTGCTTTCCTCCAAGTTTCGAACTAATCCCCTGTAACTTTGATGTCAGCTGTTTAAGAGCAGCAGAGTCCCCAGAGAAGCTTATTCCCTTAGAACATCCAAAACTGTCTCTCGTTTTCACACAGGGAGAACCACACAGACATGTGTGCACTTACAAAACGTAGAGGCTGAGGAAGTTGCTCAATTCCTTTCTAACACACATTTCAGGGCAAAAGTGGGCAACTTGTGTCCCTCCCTATGCTTTAGCTTACAATTTCCAACAGCCCTGTCCAGCACAGCCAATGGTGAAGGCTCATGGAAATTCTTGGCCAAAATACCTCAAAGATCACATTTTGCCACCATTTCATAGTTTGTTTACTATTCCTAAGCAACACTTGCTTGTGCACTTATTCTCCTGTCCTTACTGCCTATACCCAGGAGAATATCTGCCTGGAAATTTAGAATTAATTCCATCCAGGCTTTCTCAAAAGGTTAGCTACCATTCATCAATTCTTGGAATGGGTTCCAACCAAATGATTTAGCAACTATTTATTTATTTAGGAGACTTCTATGCCGCCCCATTCGCCGAAGCCTCGGGGCGGCTCACATCCATGAGTAACTATAAATACATGTACTAAGCTGAACTACTGTAACTCTCTGGAATTACTGTTTTGCTATACACCCAACACACATGCACACAATGAAAAAGGGAAGAAATGGCCAGCAGTGGGAGCTATACACTTGGCTAATAATAAAAAGCAGGATAAGATAAAGCCTTTCTACCCTTCCATGCTGGGCCAAGACAAGAAAGAGGAAGAAAAATTATGGCTAAGCAGCAAAGCTTGCCGATGAAATGATTTTTTTAAACATGGGCTTGCCCTCTGCTCAAAAAGTCATTGACTCAACCAAGTGCCTCGTTAAGATGCTTTGTTCGCATAGTTTTGCTTATGACCTCACCTCCGCCTCTTTCTGCTGAAGGATCCTATCCTTGTCCACAACTTCTTCTTCAACTGGCCTGCGAGAAAGACAAGAGAGATATAGAAACAGACACGGAATGAGCCAGCAGATTTCAAAAGCGCCAAGGGATCAGTCTGACCGTTAGGAAGGAAAATGTTGAACTGGAAACATTTCCTACGCAATCTAGGCAAGTCAGAGGTGGCGAGATACTGAGGAAAGAGTTATAGGCACCCCACAAATTAGCCTGATGTCCTCGGTGCTGATGGACCACTGCTAAGTTCATGGAAGATTCAACAGCTTTGGTACCTAGAACAGTCTGGGAGTGCTTTCCCCAGACAGCAAAAAAGTCAACTGAGCAAAACACAGGACAGGAGGGCATGGTGGGGAATATCACCTCTGCCACCCCGCCACCATGCATAGGACCTCATAAGCCACCGAGTTTGAAACTCAAGAGTCACATTTCCCACATCCTTAATTTATTGATAGTTATTTTTGGATTGACAGCTATTGCTACATGCAGTTTAATGGTGTAAATGTGCATTAATAGATACTTTGAGTGCAATACCATATATTATTAAATATTAATACTTTAGTAGTATGGTATAGATCATTTTAATTATATGCTTTCTCATTGATGTAATAAATTAATATATATACACTGGTTATCTTTAACTGAGAAGCAGGTTTTAAAGACACACAAACACTTTCAGTGAAAATTCTTATGAATCCCTGGGCATAGCTAAACCTTCTTGGAAGGACCAAAGTCTCTCACAGGAGGAAATACATATTCCCAGATCAGTTCTCTCAAGCTGGTGCCTTCCATATGTACTGGACTCCAATTCCCATCTCCCTAACCAGCATGATCAATGCAAGTTGGAGCCCAGTACTACTGGAAAATGGAAGGGCATCCAAAGATGAAGCCTTTATCATCTAAAAGAAAGTGAGACATTTTCTGTTCACAGACAGATTTATGTAGATGCAAAGGATCAGAACCTAGAGGATGAAATCAGTAACTTTCCCTGTAATTATTCTCTCAGATGGGAAAGAATCAGGCAGCTGGATGGTGACAATCCCTTCTCCAGTGGTTTATGTAGCTCTCTTATTTCTCATTCCTGTTTCATAAGGGATCCGCCTGAATTTTACATCCTAATTCTTACACTTGTGTGGAGCCATTTCCTCTGCCTACTGCCTACCCCCGCCCCATGGCACCAGCATGGGTCAGAAAACAAAGCAGCAGCCCAGACACACAGAGTCATTTCCTTAACTAGAAGTATTTCTGGACTTCTGCTGAATGATTTCAAAGAGAAACACAGAGGAACAGGTTTGCCATCAGGAAAGCTCCAGTATAAATGTTAAAGGCTTTACATCTTACAAGTAAGGGTCAAGGGCGCAGGAATTACCTAATGGAATACATCAGAAGTGAAGTTAGAATGCAATCAGGAAAAGAAATGACACCTTTTTCTAGCCAATCACATTCGCCTGGCTATGTAAATATTGAAACACACATAATAGGACAATTTGGACTAATGCCTGAACCAAATTTCTGAAGACTGAATCCAACTCTCACTTGGTCAGGTCAGTCGATGCTTGTGGGGATGCCATCTGGTTAATTTACTCAGCATTCACCGACCAGCAGTAGAAAGTGGGAACGACCTGCACTGTATTTGGTGCTTGACCTGGGATGGGCCATTCACACATAAGGGCGGCATTCATGAACATGCATGTGCAGAACCTCCCGTTCCTTCAGACCGATTTGTTCTGCACAAGACAACAATCCATCATGGGTAGCTAGTCATGGTGGGTTATCATGAGATCCAAAGGCAGATCACTTTCCCACAGATGGCTGATGTTTTAGCAATAAGCCATCCTGACAGCCCATGGCTTGTTCTAGGGTTTCTCCAATCCAGGAAGGGTTGTCTTGTCATCCAGTCCCAAGACAGCAATTTCATGTAGGCTGTGGGGATTGGCTACTTTGCTGCTCAACAAGAATAGCAACACACACACCCCACCCCACTAGATGGTGCGAGTTTCCCTTCCATTTGCTTTCTATTCTTTTTTTAAAGAACTGGCTGAATAGCAGTAAGCACAGCATTGACGGTTTAAAACGAGCCCTGAAAAGGCGGGGAGCTGTTGTGGGGGAGGGATCTCTTGCACATAACTCTCATAACTGGAATGGGAGACAGGCTACGGAGATTACAGCAAAATGAAGGAAAGGCACGCAAAGAGAATATGCCACTGTGTCCCTTTGCTGGAGTATCTTTCCTTCTGGAGCACCCTCACGCTCGCAGGCAAGCCACCGTTGCTGGCTCTGTGGGTTCCTTCTCTTAGGTAACACTAAGGAGCCTATTGCAAAGCCACTCGTGCGTCTGCCTGTGTGTTTTTGGGTTAAGACCAGAAGAGATTAGAAGGATGGGAAAGGTACATGGAACAAGACACTGCAGGGCTCCTACTTACTTGCCGCTATGCTTCAATCTTTCTGACCGGAAGTTTTCATAGTGCAAATCCTGGGTTACTTCTTGAAGGTCCTGCATGTGTGTCCTGAAACAGGAAGTGCCACGTTAAATTATTTATTATTATTATTATTACATTTTTATACTGCCCATAGCCAAAGCTCTCTAGGCAGTTGACAGCAATCATCATAGAATCATACACTCAGGTCACCCATCCCACTTCTATCCAGGCCTGACCCTGCTTAGCTTCCAAGATTAGGCAGGATCAGGCACTTCAGGCTACATGGAAGCCTTTGCCATGAGCTATAAACTGCATTCGGACAGCACGTTCGACGATAGCTTGGCATAACTTGAATTACCCCAGGTGAGCCTCTGGTGACTCATCAGGCGACTGTGAAGAGAGGCTCAGAAACCTTTGCTTCTGACCGACACTAAATTGCACTCCCAGCTTGTGAGTGGCTTGCATCCTCCTAGCCCTCTAACATTCATCTTCATGCCTATACGTTCTAAAATCCTCCTCTGCATATATTTTAGTCTTAGTCACGCGTTCATTTATTTTATTACAGTCCTGAGGATTCTGCAAGGCAAGCAACACCCATCACTTGCACAACAGAGGCTCAGTCCTTCTGAAACACACACACAAATTCCTGAACCGGCACGTGCTGATGGAGCTCTCTGAAGGAAGGGCAGCCCACCTGCCCCACAGCACAGACAGGCATTGGGTCTCATTTTGGGGTTTGCCCCCAAAGCGCTGGATCTTTCTCGCAAAACAGGGGGGCACTGCTTGTGCAGTGGGGCTGGCCAATTATGGATAGAAGCCGCAGAGGACCTCACTCGCTTGCAAGCAATGCTTTCCTGGTTTGAATTTTTCCAGCCATGCGATCCTGCCAAATTAATTCAAATATGAGCCTGTTCCATTCTGTTTTGTTTTAAGCCACGATTCTCTTCCCACAGCCTTTGCACTTGCTCGGCAAATGCATGTAGTTTTCCAAAGCAGTGGGCTTATCTGGGGCTTTTTAAAAAGGTGATTAAGAAGAACTTCCAGCCTGGACCGTGTCATTCATCACAGAAGACAGAGAATGGGACAGAGGCAAAACTAACTTGAATGTACACTTCCATTAATACACGCTTTCCACTGGTTTTATAGCTATAAAATATACAACAACTGATCTCCCAAGGCGCTTATGAAAATTATCTGCATCATGGTTTCTGCATCCAACTGTCACATAAATTGCTCACCAGAGGGAGCTCCTTGCCTGAAACTTAGCTGCCAAAAAGTAAATAATGGGATTAAGGTCTAACTACCGGAGCACTGCAGTATCTCAAAATCTGATTAATGGATCTACCCAAAAAGTAATAACCAAGACATTATTAAAAATTAGAGCCAAGTATCACTCTTCAGATTATCAGCTCTAATGTATTCCTGGATTTATACCAATATTTGTTTTGCAGCTCTTGAAGGAATCCTTCCGCTTGTCCCATTTCAAATAACCTAATTACCATTCCATTTGTAACCATTTCCAGGGGGTTGCTCCTATTATTATGATTAAAAAGTCAGTACACACTGGTACGCATGCCCATGTGCATATGAAATAAATTTTTACATTAGCAACTAAAGGCTTAATACTATGCAAATGTAGGTACCATGCTGGGAGTTGTAGGCCATTTTTCTTGTCTAAATTTCCATAGTATATTTATTTACATTAATATAAAACTACTGTGGATATACAAACTCAAAATAATGGAATGTAAAGATATCAATGATAAAGATATCAAAATTCCTACATACTGATTTGAGCTACAATACAGAGGAATTCTGACAGACCTTTTTATTTAAACATCATTTTAATTGTTAACAGTATGTACTTATTTATCTGGCCAGGGCGACTTCTTTTCTTTTCTTTTATAACTTTTCTTTTATAAACTTCTTTTATATCATTTATATTTTTTATTTATTTTATATTATTAATTTTAATTTTATATTGTTATTTTTATATTGTTTTGTATTTTATTGTGTTGCAAGCCGCCCCGAGGCTTCGGCAAGGGGCGGCATAGAAATGTTCTAATAATAATAATAATCCCTCTGCCTCCTCCCCTGAAATTCTGAATTCACCTTAAGTTTTGCCTTCTAAGTATAGGGAATCCTGATTTAAAAAAAAGATTTAAGATTCTTCCCCCATGATTTCAACTAAATCACATAAGCCTAGAAAGAAAAGCCAAAAGTACTTTTACTAGAAAGAGGAGAGTAAATAAATCTCAGATAATTCAAGGGTGTTTTTTACAAGCAAAATTACGTAGAAACCTCGCTCTTTGGGTAGCCTGAAGTGTTAAGCTCAATAAAGAACCGAACTTACACCAGCATGGTACGCAGCTTTAGGAAGTCGTTGTGCTCTGGATTCTCAACTTCCACCACTCCCCAGGGGTACAGGCGACCTCTGATCTTTTTTCCTTTCACTTCAATCAGCTGGTTGGATCCAATCACAGCGAAAGGAATGCTTGCCTGGATGAGTCAATGGAGCAGAAATTCCATGTCATACAATCATCACAGAAAAATGCTGAAGGTAGGATTTGGATGAGCACATCCAGGACAAATATTCACCGCTTTTGGTACATGCACGGGCAGAAATGGATTCCGTGGACTATACAGCTTGTGTTTAGTAAAGTGTAGAGTTTTAACCCATAGAGGTCAAAAGGATCATGTACAGAAAAGTGGGACTTTTCAGCTAATAGCTCAGAGGCTGGAATTCAGAGATGCTAATTAGGGAACTATTCCTAATATAAAGATGACAACACACAAGATCGTCTTATTGTCATGATCCCCCAACCCCCAAGTAAACTCCAGCCTCTCCATGCACCTCATTTTCATCCTACTCAAACTTTGGGCAAAGCCTCTTTGTAAAAACAAAACTAAACCGTTTCAAAAGATCAAACTGCCTCCTTGTTCTATTATTCAACCCAATAGCAATTAGATAAGTGTCCACGAAGAATCAGAATGTAAACATAGCCATTATGGACGTGGTACAACAGTAGTTTAAAAAAAGAATTAAAACGAAGGGACAGAGCAAATGCTATTCTAGAGTTAAGGAAATTATGTGGTTCTATCATTGTACATTCTCTTCTTTCCTAATCTCTCACTTGTATAAACTTCTTCCATTCCTGCATCTGACTCTAAGCCTGGCTAAACTGAACCCAGGAACACTCTTAACTAGGCACAGATTGCAAAAATAATTAACGACGGCCACAATGAATAAAGAATACAAGTAAACAGGGTGAAAACAGAACAAATTCACATGTGAAGCAAGCCTGGTTGTATATCCAAGCTTAGGGGTGATTCTCTGACCCATTCTTTAACTCAGGGCAATGTTACCTGTGCCTTGGGTCAACATAAAAATCTCAGAAGGAAAGCAGACCATCAGCAGGAGACCTGACTGCAAGGGAGGACTCACAAGCCAGGGCTATGGTCCTAAGGCACATTTTACAGCAACTTCAGGTCAGTGCTTGCAGAAGGGACCTTCCAGGACCTCGCAATGGAAGGAAGGTGCACTACAAATGCAGTCAGTACAATGACTGTAATCGCACTAATGTAGCGAAGTGGCAGGATCGGAAGAACCTGGATATTCTTGTGAAGATACCTCTTAGGAAGGGTGATTGCATAAAATAACAGAAAGTGTTTTAGAGGTACATTAGGATGGGAAGATGCAGGTGGCCTTCCCTCTTTAAAGCCATGGATTGTTGATGTATTTTCAGACAACACACAGCCTAATACGAATGCACCTACAAATAAATGCTATTATGAATGGGCTTCTATATTTAAAAAAAAGCATTCCAACACTGAGCTTGGCTCCAACAGCAGAATTGGGATTTTCTGGGTATAACTTTTCTAAAAAAAATGTTAAACAAAACCTCTTTATCTTCCTTCTTACTATAATCTCTCACGTAAACTTCTAGAGGTGAGAGATTCTGTCATCTCTGCCCCACACCCAAGCTCTGGTGCTCAGATTTTACCCCTCTCCCAGGGAGAGACTGAAATGACGGTGCTTGTATCCCAACCCAAAGCCTCGTGAGCCATCCCTTCAAGCTGGAATAGGATTGGGGTGAGGGTGAGTTTTTATGTATGGACTAATCCCTCTTGCAAAGACAGAGGAAGAGTTGATGGAGACTGGAGTCCAGGTGAGAGCTGAGTAGGAACTCTGTGGCCATTCTACCTAAGTAGATGTTCTTTAGAGTATTTCCCTCCACTTTTCCACATTTTCAGATTGGTCAAGCAAGTCTTATATTCCAGTATCTGTCTGAAACTGTCGCCTGTGTGCAAATCTATTGTAGAAAAGTGAGTACAATGGAAGAGCTTCTTGCTCGTGTCGCACATTGTAAAACACAATGTAAACTGATTGTGTGCTTCTGCTGCTGTAGAACTCAGTTCCATGGACAACTGGACCTTGCTAATGTATTGACTTTCAACATTCATTGTGCATTAGAATTCTGGATGAGGAGAAATGATGAAAACACCTGAAGAATATAGGTTGAATAAGACTACTACCACAGAAGGATGTGTCATCAAACTAGGATGCATCAAACCCACCTTCAGAACCCTGGTCTGTTCCTTGAATTCTTCATCCTCATCAGAATCAGCATCAGGTAACTGGTAAATCCTTATGCCATGCTCAGAAATCTCATCTAAAACCTGCAACGAGGAGGAATGCAAAGGTGACTTCTAGCAGCACGCAGCAGTAGACTTCAAGAACACACATTGTATTTAGATGGTCAGCACCCAAATCCTACCTTCCCAGTACAATTCAATCCCATGCACCTTGAGACCAAACCTTCCTCTCACACAGTGCCTCTACTGTGGTTTAAGGTACAGTTTCCAGTTAAATCTGAGGCAGAAAACTGGTTTAATTTTGGTTTACTAAGCAGGATCAGATCTGTGGTTCTACTTCAAACCACAGTACAAGCAATGAAGTCACAGCCCAAACAGAGGAAAGGAGGGAGCTTGCAGGTTTCTAGTTGATCGACCATGGGTGATGAAGCTGAGACCTCTCTATATATTCTGAAAAGGATAACGTGCAAGATATTCTACAAAGAAAACATAGGATCATGCTCACTTGATAAAGAAAAAGCCCCACAGACAAAGAAGCAGGAGTAGCAACAGCCCTCAAGAGAGAGAAACACAGGAAGGCAAATGGACCACAGCATCAAAATCCAGACCACAAAAGGACACCATGGACTGGAAAAGTGCAGAAAAATCCCTCTTTAAACAATCCTGAGTTCTTCCCTCAGGCAGGTGTGGCCTACAAAGCTTGCATTTAAAAGAGCAGCATCTTTAGAATAGGCTACAGATAGGAGGTTTGTCCAAACGCCAGCTAGCTGTGTATAACACAGGGAGGCACTGCGGCTTGCGTTTTGCCAGATACAGGGAACGTTCAAGCCCATCTCTCTGGGCAGAGATTTTGGCAATAAACCTGCAAGGGAAACAATGGCGGGAAAACTAACAAGGGTGCAGAAATAATGTATCACAGCTGTTCAGCCAAGTGCTTTCCTGAAAGGAAAAAGAGAATTGCAAGGAAAACAAACTGCATTTACTACGCCCAACAATGAAGCAACATTTTGCTTCTTCAGACATCAGTTTTATTGGTCCCAGGAGGTTCTTTGGTTCCTAAAGATTAGCCTTCCCAGGGGAAATCTGCAAAGAAGTCAAAATCCAAGTTCCCCTTCTCATGTAATCATTCTTTCGAGCAGGTTTCCTCTTGTGGCTTGGCATAGCACCGCTTGTGAAATGGCTGTCCAGTTCTTCCCACTTGAGAGTTTTGTTTTTTAAAAAAGAAGGTTGGATTCCGTCAAGTCAAAACAGGAATTACTCCAAGCTGGGCTTCCTTGAAAGAAGCCCCCACAAGTAAGCCTTCTGCTTATTCAAACAGTCAGGAGGGAAAAACCCCGGCCCAACTTACCTTGGATTCACTGCCAAATGGCAGAAAGATCTAAAAAATAGCAAAGGCTTCAAAGCTAGGCCAGAAGAGAGAGATTCTGATCCCCTGCCTTGATAGAGGTTTTGCATTAAGAGATGTTTGAGTTAGAAAAATATACAGGAGCTAAGCTTTCAAAGCTCTGGATCAACATTAAACATTCTATCCTGTTAAGCCATTCATAACAATGGCCTACCCAAAAGGACCCAAAATAATCATGTCCAAGATGTTTATTTGCCCTCCAACTGTTCCTTATTAGGCAACAGTTGTGGTACCGTTGGGTGCTGTTAAGAGTGAATCAGACCGCAAAAATGAGCAAGTTCCCAAATGACATTTTTTTCTCCAGATCTAACCATTTTGTGATTTAGGACACCAACTTTCTGGAAAGAACTTTAATGGGTTTTTGATAACTGATTAATTAGCTGGCATGTCATCAGCAGTCATAGAATAACCTTAGATAAAATTTGATTTGATTTTGATTCTTTTCCCTGCAATTATTAAGACCAACAGCCTCTTTGCTGCTTTTTATGAAAGTCAAAAAAACCAGTGGCTTCCTTAAGTTTGTCATCTTCAGCCCAGCTACTTGTATCTTTCTGAAACATCAAGAAGCTATGCATTGGGTCTTCTGCTAATAATCTAAAATATGCTCCCAGATATACTGGATGACAAAAAATATACTTAACCAAAATTTTAAGAGCTACTCCCACTGAGAGGAAAGCAGGTGTCTGTTACAACTTAAGCACGCATGTCAAAATACAAAAACCCTCAATGTTTGTCATGTGCAAACTGAAGCCAATTCTGATTTATTCAGTAACTAACTCCTGATCCTATATATTATTTCTTTAAATCAAGTGGCCACCCTAGTAAAAACTAAGGTGAGCTTATCTTTACTATAAATGTGAACTTAATCTTTATGAAAACATTTTTTACAGAAATGTTATCTTTGGTCATTGTCCTTAACGGCAAACTGAAAAGCTATAAAGTTCCAAAGAATAAAGTATTTGGAACCCACAGAAACGCTCCCTCTTGCAGTTTCATTCAGACCCATGAATGACAAGTTAAATCTGCCTACAGATGATTTCAAGAGAGGGGTATATGCTATATGCGTATACTGTTCTGTAGGCATATACTGCCCTGTATATATTGTGGGCAGAAAGAGGTGAAAGACTTCATCCATTACATACAACTTTGTGATCTGTATAATTTCTCTAGGGCTGTTTCTGAAATTTCTGGTGAGTAGAAATCCACTCTCAGGAATCTCATACCAGATGGCAGGGATACCTATCAGGTTCTCACACGTGGCCTGGCAATGGATTAAATGGATTAAATAGAAATACAAAAGGTGGTTCTACACATTGGGGAGCATAAAATACCTTAAAATGTGCGTTGTAATCCAATTACACTGCCTGATCCTGTGACCAATGGTTTTTAGGAAATACATCCAACAGGTTAAAATGTCTGCTATGCATCTAATGAAACTATAGTACACTGAGTCTCCCCACAAGACACCCTTATCGGCAGAGCTTGTTCTTCAAGCCAGACAATCGATCCATGCAACTTGGTTACGCCTGTTTCAGCACACCTCCGACCTGTGTGTGGTACTCTCAGAAAATGGCTGCCATGGTGGATCTAGCCAGCTGCTAAATCCTCATTTCCCAGCAGTCATCCTAGAGACTAAAACCATTAATTCCGCGATGAACCTAAAGAAAACCCAGCCTTGGAATCTGAGCTACGACACACAAACCCACACTTTGAACCCATGTAACAAGGACATTCAAGGGAAAAAAATCACTTTGTGGTGTGATAGCTTCCCAATTTTAAGAAAGTAAAAAATACAACGAAAGCAGGAGGGATGGGAAGGTAGCGGGGGTCTCAGACATGGGAGCTGCAGGCATAGCGCTACCTGCTGGCACCACACTGAACACTCCAGGTCAAAAACGGGGGCCCAACCCTAATCTGTGAAGGAGAGGCCTCTCTTAGCCCTGTCGCCCCATGATCCTTTCGAACTGGAGCTGCAGCAGTGCAGCCCAGAGACCTCCCCACATGCAAAGCATGTGCTCCGCCAGACATCCATGAGTTTATACCCATAGATATCCCATGTAAGAGCAAACTGCCACGTTCAAATGGCCAGGGTACTCCACATGAATGAATGAAACTGGAAAGCAGCCAAAAAAGAGAGTGCATGGCAGCCTTCCCAGCATGGATGTCACCAGATGTTCCAGACTACAACTCCCATCAGCCCCAGCCCGCATCACCATTCACCAGGGAAGAAAGCACGCATTCACTTTACGAGCTGGGACGTTCCAAAAGGGGTGATGGCATGTTCTTTTTCGGAAGAGTGCCTACCCGTCTCTTCAGCCTCTCTCTCTCCTTCAGCGTCAAAGTGTCAGCTTTGGCAATCACAGGGACAATGTTGACTTTTCCATGAAGGGCTTTCATGAATTCTACGTCCAAAGGCTTCAGCCTGAAAATCAATCAGAAAACTTAATGCAGCGCTGAAAGCAACCTAAGAATTACTTGGAATTACTTGTTATGCATTGGCAACAACAAACATCTCAGGAAATGGGACACTCTTTCCCACAACAGCCCTAGAATGTGGTGTGCCCTTCCGTGGAAAAACACGCACAGCGTCTGCACTGCAGATGTACAATGTTCCATTACTTCAATGCAGGAAACAGGGTATATACCGTTTCGAGCGCGTAAACTCACAGCAATGTAAACCTCCTCGTGAAAAAAATCTTTCAACTTCCGCTGATGAACGAGGCTTCAGGAACCCAGACAAAATCCGTACTGTACAAAGTTCAGATCGCTTGAATTTGTACGCATGTGACTCACATGACAATTAAGCCCCCTATATTCACATGAAGACGCAGTTATTACCTCCTAAGTTTCTAGGTAGCCACCAGTTTTAATTACATACCCCTGCCATGCATTGGTATTAAATCCTTTCTGAAATGGAGACAAAACCAAATAGGCAGCTATTAATCCCAAAGGTGATTTTAATTGAGTTGGCCGATTGTCAAGGAGGAAAGTAGGTCCAGGAACAGGATGGCTAAATCCCTTCCAGAAAGTTACTCGGTGCGTGCTTAGAGGCGAGAAGGCTCGTCCGCGCGTGCAAATCCGCCCTTACCCATGTCCGAAGGGAGATATGAAATAAAAGCAGCAATGAACTCTGTTGTCCACAATGTGGCGCCGGTTGAGGCCGCTCTCATCGTGCAGGTATCTCTCGAACTGGTTGTCAATGTAATGGATGATTGTTTTGAAACTGAAGAAAAAGAAGGGAGAGGAAAACAATTGCAATGGGAAAGGCTTTCTTTCATCCAGACTCTTGTGAATAAGCAAGATTCTCTTTGAAGCTTTTCCTCCTGAACACATCTCTCGAATAAGATTCTGCTCTCTTCCCCATGGAATTCACATTGTAAGAATGAGGCTGACAATGTACGCATACACCCAGTTGCTCCTGTTTCCTGCTTCTTCAAGGACTAAAAAATAGCTTGGCAATTCAATTAAAGGGTCTCTGCTACAATTATTTCTTTGCATGCAGTTTTCAGATCTTCATCACTGCTCAATCTTTCCAATTAACCTTGTCATCCTGGGACAAAAGTCAAGAATCAAGTCGATGTTATTTGCCCCTTTCATTTAACATAGAGAGTTGTGAGAGAATTAATACAACTGAAATGTTCCTAGAATTTAATACAATTCCGCTGAGTAGCAAATTGCAAATGCATTTTTAAAGTATATACTGCTTTCCTTCAGCATCCAAAATATTGTACATTACATTATCCCAGCCACTCTTATAACGATCCTGTAATGTAAAATAGTAGTACACATTATGGATGACAATTATTAGGTATAAGGCCACAAAATAGTGCTTGGGGATAGGAGATATAAAACCTCCTATAGAGATACTAGAACCCCGACTACCAGCTGCTATGTTATGCTAATTCTTAGCTCTGGCATAACTCGCTGCGGTGAGGAGGCATTCTAAGCATCCGCTGGATATCCAGAGAAAAGGGAGGTAAGGTCAACCAATCTAGCAGAGGAGGATTCAAATAAAAATATGCAGCACAAAAAAATAGCCCATAACACTGGTTTTACCTAGTGGATCAACTAAGCACCACACGCATTTTCTTTTCTGTTTGGGTCTTTTCTGAGCAAGAGAAAGAAAGAACAGAAACAAACAGCATTCCTTCCTCTTTCATAGTTGGAAAACGGCCTTTCCAGTAGTGGTTCCAAACATCTCCAGAAAGATTCATTTATCGCAGTTGCTATCAGATTAAGACCCTTTTATTTTTTTGAATTTCCACATTCAATTCTGGCAAAAAACTGTTTCACAGCCCCTTTTAATATTTGGGGCTAAACTGTTTCACTGGTTGCTTGATTTTCTTTTTACGTTCCTTTAAAATATTTTAAGCTGCCTTGAACATTCTTCATAGGGAAACAAGATCAAAATTTTAAACACACTCACTCATTAATGTGTGATTTTCATCCTTAGACAATGGTGGCATGCTTTACCCAGTAAAACGCACCCTTCTATATAAGGCAAAAAAGCTCTGCTCCTCTTTGCGTTTGGGTCACCCAACAGAGAACACAAGAGAAATTTAGCATATATGGGTTTTCAAGAGACCAAAAGCAGTTCCTGAGCTACAGTTAGAAAAGGCTGCAGGTGACTAGAAGAGGGGAATTTCTAAATAGGCTATGACCTACAGACCAGGAAATATAAACAGTCCAAACAGCTTTACAAAACAACTTCGCAATGCACAATGCATCGTTATATTTTCTTCAAGGATAAATTCTGTGAGGGTGTTTAAAAAGTAGAAATTACCTTCTATTGACAGAGATGGGGAGAAGAATTCAAAGTCTCAACTTTATGACAAATATTGGACTTAATCCTTTGAATTCTTCACTGCAGATTCAACAACAGTGGTGCAATGATACCATCACCCTGCTTTCTCTTGGTCTCCCTCCCACCCGGAAAAAGCGGGTGGAGATCCAAACTCACAGAGGCTTTATGAAATATTGCCAAAGAATAAACACGGCATCAGAACACAATCAACAGGAAGTTCAACTTGCAACACAATGGTTGAGCTAAATGGACTTGGAAATCCAACAGAAGGAAGTTTAAGCCAACCTGATGAAGAAATTTCTCTGGTACAAAAGGACTGGGAAATCACTGCAGGAAAGCAATATTATGAATACCAGTAAATAGGCAGTACTACCTAGAGGTATTATATGAATGATAGTTTTAAGTCCCACATTTATAAAAAGTTAGTTGCTCTTAGTTTACAGTCATTATCTGTGGCAAACATCTACACACACACGCGGAGGGAGGGATCCACATCAGGACATGGCCATATAAAGACTGCATGCATCCCACTGGAGACGGACTAAAGTTGTGGAATTGTACACACCTGTTGCCAGGTGCAATCCCTAGCATCTGCAGGTAGGGCTGCAAAAATTCCTGCCAGAAATCTTGGAAAGCCACTGCCAGTCAGTGCCAACAACACTAGACGACTCAGAGCAAGGTAGCTTCCTGCCTTGTGTGCAAAAAGGGTCAGGGTCCATCTCCAGCATTAAATATTGGCATTATCTGGGAACACCTTCTGTCTGACACCTGGGTGCTGCCAGTCAGAGGAACAAATACTGGACTAAATGGGCAAACAGTCCAAGCTCATATACAATAGATTCCTATGCTCCATATTCTCTTGCTATCGTCTACAGTTGTTAGTAGTCCTGCCACAGGCAGGGAGGCCTTGAGACTGGGGAGCAATTCCTTTTTCCAGCTTGCCCATCTAGCTGCCCCGCACAGCCTGAAGCAAGAAGGGTAGTAAAAACTGTAGTAGAAGTCTTAAACATAAACCCATCTCCTGCTGGGACTTGTATGAACTACCCAACACCCAGCACTGACAAAAAGCCATGAGAGTTAATGCAATTAAAAATTGATAGTGAGAAAATGCCCCCTTTCCCAACCAACATTTGTTATCATTTTAAATTATTTTTAGGCCATCTATAAGGGTAAAACACTCTCAGGAATCGGTAGATTGGAATAGATGTGAAGAATCTGTATCAGAGCCAGATAAAAACATACCAGTCTTGGCTATTAATAGCATCCCCATATCCTGGAGTATCTACTACGGTGAGACGAAGCTTCACCCCTCGTTCCTCTATCTCTACGGTGGAAGCTTCAATCTGGACTGTTCTCTCTATTTTTTCTAGAAGAGGAAGGTTTAAACACATTAACGTTCCCTTGTCAGAACAGCGAGGGGCATGAAAGAGGTTTTTGTTTTTTTAATTCAAAACTACAAGCACCAAGAGCCCGCTGGATTGTTTGTGCGTATGTTAGAACACTACCCAGTAGCCAACAAAATCCAACGGGGGAACTGTGCCAAGTGCTGCAGCATCAGCTGCTCCTGTTCCAGATCCTGCATTCCATCCCTCCTCCATTCCCCAGCCGCCAGTCAGTCAATACTCCACACTGTTGGGACAGGAGCATCCCCTGCCTTAGCTATTTTTACCCGTAGATTATACACCTGCAAGATGCTGGGTTCTCCGAAGCCTACAGCCTGACTTGTGTAGGGATGGCGCCATTTTAGCCGCTTGGAAAACTGAGTTTGCTGTTGGCATGTATATCATAAAAGTGGGCAGAAACAGGGAAAGTCATGGCATCATCCCACCAGGAAAAGCAGACCATGACGGAACGAGATCCAGAGGTGTCGTCAGGAAAGGCAGAAGAGTTGGACCAGGGTAGGTGCAGGTTCTGGTCCTCACTCAGGCCATGAAGCTCACGAGGTATCTTTGGGCCAGGCACTGACTTTCCGCCTAACCTGCCTTACAGGTGGTCGGACACAGCGCAAGGCAGTCGCAACTGCATCATGTAGCACAATGGCGGGAAAGTGGTACAGAGCCTTCTCCCTGGTGGCACCCAGACAATGGCATCCAACAAAAATATGTGCAGGGTGTTTTCAGGGGAACTGTCAGATTGGGCTGCTGGGTTTAGCTTTATAGCCCTTTTTGGGTGCTCGGTCCACATGATTGTAACCACAAAGAAGGGGAGAGGAGGGCTGTGTCCACTGGCCCCGGATTTGCATCCTTCACAGGCCACTACCGTAGACAGAAGCCCGTCCTATCATGGACTCCTTCCATGACTTAGAGGCAGGGTTTTAAATCATGTGGGGGGTTCTATGCGCACAGATGCAATAGTTGGACAGAATACCCATAAAGGGCTATTGTGCTATGGTTAATGCGTGCTTTACAGAGGCCATTACCCGCCCCAAGTATCTCTAGTGAGATGAAAGGGAAGGATATAAACAGAGTAAAAATAACAGCGTGGCGGGCACATGGGACTCAGCGTGTGGCTCTTTGGAATCTAGGCCACCACGGGCCACTGTATATTCCAAAAAAGCAATAGGCCTTTGCTGTTGTTTACACATTAGCACTTTAAAGAATATATATCGCCCAGCCAGAAAAGGCTGAGATAACAAACAAAAGGGAAACACAACAGCCATTTCACAGGCGCAGTTTAAAAGGATGAGGAACGTGAGAAGTACTCTGAAGTGCTTCAAAGGTAAACAAGAGAAGTGCCAACATTGGAAGGCGCGCAGGACAGAAGCCAGCTCAGTTGACTGGAATACACAGTGATTTCGAAGACATCCCTTTGCACAGCAACATATGAGAGGTACAAGGATGGATACACATTCATTGGGACTTCAGTGTTAATTGATCTGAGCAGCCTATTAAAAGCCTTGGGCTTGATTGGTCGGGTTTTGTCCCCACAACAATATCCCAAGCTATCCTGATGCACCGATGAGCTTTTTAATCTTCTAGTTCAGCAGGAGGCAGAGTTCCCTTGCTTTTCTCTAGATGACAAGAGAACAATGCCTCATACGGAGCTGAGATGAATAGCAGTGATGGACATCGCTGGGCCGTAGCTTCAAAATGCCTGTAAATTTTGCACAGGTGAAATACATGATAATGAGTATATTTGACTGAATCATTTGCAGCAACTACCACCAAACTTTATTCAGACCTAACTGCAAGTTCAGGTAGCAGGTGCTGACAGAAACTGAGCCAAAACAAGGCCCTTGAGAAGCAAAATGGCAGAATCAACATGCTGAGCACCATTATATAAACTGGGGGAAAAACCCTAAGCAGGCTGAAAAGAGCTTGCCCAAAGAGCAGGCTCAGTAGCCATGAAATATTGTTTGTTACTTGGGAAATGCACACGGGAAATGTTACTTGGGAAATGCACACGGAAAGGGGAAGGAATGTGCTGCTTCCCTACCCCCAGTTTCCTTTTGCAACTGGCGCACCACAGAGAGGACGTGGCTGACCGGCAGAAGCCTAAAATGAAGCACTCATGTTAGCGTTGTTGTTTGGCTCTCTGGACATCAGATAATGTTGTCCCACTGAAAATCCATTTTCATACACATGCAGTCAGTCACTTCTTAAATAAATGACTCAGTTTCTAAAAATTCAATTAGCTTTTTTTAAGGTCTATTTCCGTTAGAATACGTGAATAATCCCATCTAGGAAAAACCACAGACAGAGGCTGAGATGTAGAATGGCTTACCTGCAGCTCCAGGAATGTACCGTTCAGGATAGAGATCAGTTAGGAATAAGCTGTTAATTAAAGTGGATTTTCCCAAGCCAGATTCACCTGTGAATAAGATGGGTATTAATTTAATGAAATACTCTTCCCACCCTTTCATGCAAACCACAGGTGTGTCATGCAGCAAAAGCATTTCTTCCTGCCAGGATCCACCCTGGTTTGCAAGATAACTTTGCTAGGCTTGACTAAATAAAACAGGAAAAACAAGCTGTATATTGAATAGGCTACCATTTCCAAAAGTACACACTTTCACAAACTAACCCAAAACTTGAATTAGGCACTCCAATCAAATCCCTACAAAATCACTATCACCCCTCACTCATTTTTTCCCAGATCTTGTCTCTGAGAACACCCATGTTCGTGCAGCAAGACAGAATTTGAGGCCAAAAATATATCACGGTGAACGGGTACAAACGGGCACATTTCAGGTTGCTGGGCATACGTGCTGCAGTCATATGATAGCTCTTTTCACTTTGGAAGGAGAAGCCGTAAAGCAGTTGTGGACAACATGCAGCCTTCCAGATGCCCTCTGGAATCTCCCCCAGGGAAACCACATGCCCTACCTGGGCCCTACCCAGGTCCTCTTCCCTGGGTCACCTCCCTGTTATAAACCGTATGAACTTAATCCAGACAGCATGGCTTGTGGCCCTCCAAATGCCTTGGCCTGCAGATCCCACAAGGGCAAACGACAAGGGATCATGGGAGATGTAGGGAGAGGGCCACAATATGCCCCGCTTGGCCTAAACAGATATCCAAGGAGACAAGCTTTGTCCTGACGGCTATATGCTGCCTCCAGGATCAGAAGCAACACTTCTCAGCACCAGCTGTTGAGAAACAGCAGCATGCCGGGACTGTTACCTTTACATCCAGCTTGCTGGCTGGCCTCTCTGGAAAACAAGATGCCAGGGTAAGTGGGCACTGGTTCAGCAGCATCTCTGCAGGGCGATCTGAAGGCTACCCCTTCAGGAGTTTTGGACTACAGCTCCCCAAGCCATGGCCAGAATAGCCAGTGGTCAGGGATTCCTGGAGCTGCCACCTGGCACATCAGGAAGGGCCCCAAAATGCCTACTCTAACTCTAAGGGTGCAGAGCGCAATTGAGGATGTGGCTTGCCACCAGGTCACAGTGAAGGCCCCACTGAAATCAAACTGCTTTCTGCAGGTCGCCCTCTGCAGTGGTGCCCCTCCAACCTAGAGCCAGGTCAAGCTGTGACCGGCGTGTATAATCCAGTTTCTTCTTGCTGACTGTACTTTCCAAGGACCTTTTCCAAACATTAACAGCAATTGAAAGTCATTAAACAATGACTCACTATGCAATAGTTCTTCCACAGAAATGAAAAGTTTCTGAAATGTTCTCATAGGCAGCTGAGGGGAAGTGAGTCAGAGATGGTTTAAGCATCAAATCTTCATTTATATATATAATTAAATTTTTTAAACTAACACTAAAAAAAAAAAATCAAACATCACAAACATTGGATTCACTGGGTCAACCTCCTACTACATATTACATGAGTGCCCCATGAAATCCTCTGCCTTCCCACTCGGTTTGCCCCTTCCCCTTGCTTTTTTGGGAGGTACTGTGCAACATTACATAGGGACACAGGAAGCAGCCTCTCCCCATGGCAGGTACTGATCAGTCCAGCCCAATATTCTCATCACAGACTCGAAGCCGTTCTCCAGGATTCTGGGCATGACTCCTTTCTAGCCCTAGCCTAAGAAGCTGGCAGTTGAACCTAGGATCTTCCAGATGGGAAGCAGTTTAACTCTCACCAAGTCACAGCTGTCTGTGTAACTCAGGTTAGGGCGAGCCATGATAGCTTGCTTGCAAACTCTGGATGGAAGCATAGAAACCGTTTTCCAGACTCTGGGATGAACTGATGCCGTTAGCATCTCTGCAAACATAAAACCACGCCATGGTTTCCCACTAAAAATTGGAGGGAGAGGGGCCAAGGCCCTGTGAGCCTGCAGGTACTCTCAATCTCCTAAGAACTAGGGACAGGAACCCCAATTGTTATACTTCCATTGTGCTTTCGGTTAAATTTCTACTGAATGTGTCCAGGGCTGTTCCCTCACCCACAAGACACTTCTTGCTGCCTGACATAGCACCAAGCCCAGCTTAGGTGGACACTCCAAAATGTCTCGCAGCACCATTCAAAACCCAATTCCTGCCTTTTAATTCTTTACTCTAAGGTGCCACCTGAAGCAGCTTGCCTTACCAATCAAGTATTTATAAAAAGAAAGAGAAAGAGCACCTACCAACAACCATTAGGGTGAACTCAAAGCCTTTCTTGACAGACTTCCTGTGGACTTGATTGGGGAGATTGGCAAAGCCTACATACCCAGCAGAGTCCGAAAACTGGAATGGGAAAGCAACAAAGAGCACTGTGATTGGAAGCACAAGGCATTAAGGACATAGGAACAACGCTCACGACACCAGTAGTACATCTCGTACAGCTTCTCTTTTAAAATTATTGTGCAATGCAAATAAAGCTTCAAACCACATCAGTGGAAAAAAGGAAAAAAGAAACAGAACTGAAGCAATACAATTTCGAATTCAAAATGGTCCAGCATTCTGTTTATACCGTAGCCAGCCGCCAGCTCGCAGGATCCCACAAGCAGAAGATGAGGGGAACGGCATCCTCCTACCCATAACTCCCCAAGAAATGGGGCATTTCAGCATGCTGCCTCTGCTCCTGGAGACTGCTTAGAGCCATCAGGTCTACTAACCATGGAGAGCTTCGTCCTCCAGGAATGTGTCCAGCCATCCAAACTGCTGGCCATAACGACTTCTAATGAAAACGAATTCCATAACGTAACTCAGTGCTGCATGAAGAATTCCTATTACCTGTCCTGCATCTCTCACCAATCAGCATCATGGGATGACCCTGAGTTCTGGTGTTTAGAGGGACCAAATATCACCCCATCCACTTTCTCTACACGATGCATAATTCTGTGCAGCTTTCTCATGTCTCCCCATTGCTCTCTCTATGCTAAAGGATCTCAGCTGCTGCATCCTTCCAGCACAGGACATGTCTTGCTTATTTTAATTGCTGCTCTGGACATTTTCCACCTCTGCAATACCCTCTTTTTGGGGGAATGGCAACCGGAAAGGTGCACAATATTCCAAGTGGAATCTCACCAGATCTGTGTAAAAGAAATATGAATTTTTATTTAAAGTTTTTAATAAGCCGTCCCCTTGCTACATAGCCTCGGAACGGCTTACAGAAATAAATACAACATAACAATTACAATTAAAACCCGCAAATTTGATGACTTTATTCTGAATGCCTTCCCTAATTATGCTTAACGTGGAATTTGCCTTTGCCACAGCAACCACATACTCTAGAAGCAAAATGTCTGAAGCAATGTGCAAGTTTACATCTGCTTGAGAGCTACAGAGCAAAGTGAAGGAGAACGGCTGAAGTGTTGAGTTCTCTGCTCAGAATGTGGCAGCTAGAACAGCCTTCCCCAAGCCAGTGCCCTCCAGTCAAGCTGAACTACAGCTCCCAGCATCCCCCAGCCATTCCTACCAAGTTGGGGAAGGCTGAGCCTGAAGACAGGAAACAATGCACAATGGATTGTGCTATGAATTGGCCACATTCAGACAATTGTTTCTCAGACCACTGGCTACTATGCTCCATCCTTTGCACAAACAGCACACAAGCCACTTCAAAAGTCAGCCATAGGTCTCAGTAGTTATTCTGATCTGTTTTTTTCTGAACCATTCCTCCACTTGCTGGAAAAGACTGACAAGAAACATGACAAAATACAGCACTTCAAAACCAAATTGGAATAAAGCTGATAAGATACATGCCAAGAAAGTAGTGAGACCTATTAAAATTAATAGTATTAATATATCTTCAAATGCAAAGGCATCCTTAACCAGTAAAATTCAATGGACCCTAATTGTCTATGGGTCACTAATGAAGGAACAAAACCAGCCCATCTGATTCTAACTTTAAAAACATTTCTCTAGTCTGATTTTAAATGTTTTAACTAAGAATGCTTTGTTTAGAGAGTGTGCTTGTTTTCAATGTTTTAACTGAGATACTTTTGTAACCCTTGTTTGTAAACATGCTAATGGCAGACACCCTGAATTTAAGCTTTTATGTTATAAAACACTTCAATGGGACTTTTTAAATATAGCCTGGCAGTCTAGGAATGAATCAAAAAGCAATCTCACAACCTCCCTTGGAAGAGAGTTCCGAGCTGGGGAAACTCTGATCATTAAGAAAAATTTAAAACCAGAGTTTAATGAAATCCAGATAAATTATTAATGACCACATTGCAGTTTAACCGGAAAATCGATTTAACAGTAGGCTTTCTGTGCATGAAGAGATAAGAACAGAGCTGCTGCACATGAATGAGGCTCACAGGATGATCCAGATGCTTGAGAACATCTTCAAATACGGTTCCAAGTCTCTAACCCAACCATCCAAAATTGGGATCATGAAAGGGTCGAGTCAAAACACAACGGAAAGCACAAACTATACCACCCTTGGCAAGTATTGATGCTACCCTATAATACTGTTAGCACATGCACCTAGAGAGCTATGCCCTGCCACATGCTTCTTACCTTGACTTTTTCACCTGATTGAGACATGTTCTTGCACTCCAAATGTCAAAGCCTGGAAAAAGCACACAGAAAGTTAGAGGTTTGACTCACACTATCATCTTCATACTTTCACTATTATGGAATGGAGAAGCCAACATAGTCATCAGCCACCTCTACCTATGAAAATACACAGTGACTATATTTTGTGGGACTCAAAAATTAGACATTACAAATGAAGGTAACATCAGATATTCAGAGGGGAGTAGTTTTATTCCTTCCCTGCAGAGCAGGAGTAAACAGAACAAAATGAATGAACAAACAATCAAAACAATGAACAAACAACTTCCCATGTTGGCCACCCTAGAAAACAATGGCCAACTGCTCCAGAATGAGCCCCTGCACCAAAAATCGCTTCAAATCCTGGTTTGTTAGCCTCAGTTGTCTGGTTCAGAAGGCAGAGGAAACTCTAGTTAATAGAAGACTTCCTAATTTGTTTACTCACACAAACTGCACACACAGCCCAAACATTAAGATGAAATATGACTATCCGAATGTGGGCACAGATACAAGATTAAACCTGCCCTCAAAATTACATGAAGCCAAGAGATTCTTAAAAACCCCTGCTACCCACCCACAATCCAGTGTAGAACCTCTGCTCTTGAGCATACAGAAGAACACCCCAAAGGATGCAAGCAGTTAGAAGATACAGGCATAAACTCTTTCAACACCCAACTCCAAAAGTAGCTCAATTGATTGCTATGTGAACTGCCCCAAATGATGGGTTTACTGTTTTTACAGGCTTGCTTTCTCATGGGTCCTCAAAGCACATCACAGATCTACACAATTCCTTTTATCTTCCCATTTTCAGAACAAGAACAAGAGTGAGCTCTGCCAGTGAAACCATCTGCTTTTTCTCTGCAGCTAATGCTGTGCAGGGTTGCACAGCTTTCGTTCCCCTCAAAGGCACAGCCTCAGGAGTCTTTACGACTGCAAAACTAGCATGCATTTTCCATGTAAGTAGAGAATGGGTGCAAAATTCCGCTTCCGGATAATCTCAACTTTAAAATAAAAAAGGTTCTAGCTGACTAATGCAATCCTAAATGCACACTGACTAATGCAATCCTAAATACCCATGTTGTGGTTGAAAGAAAGCAAAACTCAAGATGACATCTGAGGAGCTATGAGGGGGTCCCCCACTTCTTTAAAGAAGATATATGCAATTAACAAAGAGAGAACAAAGGTGAGGAGGAGAGAATTCAAATCAGGGCCATGATCCTGGCAGAGACGTTAACCCCACCCCACCAATCAAGTCATAACACAAAGGATAGTTTTTCCCAGGGAGGGACAACATAGGAAACCTGAAAATCGTCAAAGGTGAAACCTCTGAAAGGGGGGTGAAGTTTAGAGCAGAAGAATAGCACAAGGGAAAGGCTTAAATGATTCCTTCTCTGGCTCTGGAACCCTACCACAAATCCTTACCCCGATGTTATTCACACATGCATTTCAACACTGTCTACACCTTGCAGAATTTGGATTACCTTAGTGAAATTAGTACAATTGCCTTTTTTTAAGCAGAAAGAACACCCAGCCTTGGACACCCTATATAGCTTTGCCACATGCTTGGGTTTTCTTTGTGTCTACACATTACCGTTTAATATGAAATAAATTGTTCCTTTATTTAGAACAGTTGCAGAAACAAAGGAGGAAAGAGGCAAGAAACTGAATTACTGGGCTTCTTGACAAACACAATTCTTGGCGTGAAAGGGAGGAAGTGACCTATAGACAGACACCTGCGACTTCTGGATGCAGATGCTTTCCTGTTACTTCTTAACGGTCACCATTGTTGGCAGGATGCAGCATGAAATTATGTTAAAAAGCAAGTGGTCAGCTGAAAGCTTGCACTAAAGAAAATGAACAAATACTGGACCTGACAGAACCCATAACTAATGATTTTGGGAGAGGAAGCATAAAGCTCCTGAAGATTTGTTATTAAACCCAACAATAAATTTCTCTCTATAGACACACACAAACATTCACAAGCAACGTACTGCAACCATTTACGTGGGGCTCCCCCTGAAGACGGTCCGAACACTTCAATTGGTGCAAAATAGAGCTGCCAGGTTGCTGACGGGGCGTTATGCTCACATGACTCCAGTCCTCCGTCAGCTTCACTGGCTTCCCATTGAAGTCCGGGCCCAATTCAAGGTGTTGGTTATGACCTATAAAGCCCTAAACGGCTTGGGTCCTGGCTACCTGAACGAGCGCTTACGTCCGTATATGCCCGACCGCCCCTTGAGATCTGCGGGAGAGTCCCTTCTCCGGGAACCCTCCATGAAAGAAATTAGGAGAGTAAGCACTCGGAGGAGGGCTTTCTCTGCAGTGGCGCCCAACCTATGGAATTCACTCCCCAAAGAGGTCCGCCTGGCACCATCGTTACTGGTTTTTCGGCGCCAGATAAAGACCTTTTTATCTAAACATCATTTTAATTGTTAAAATATATGATCTGGCCAGGGCAACTTCTTCCCTCTCTTTTCTCCTCCTATATTCTTTATTTACTTATTTTATACTGTTAATTTTAATTTTATATTTGTAAATCAATGTATTTTTGTATTTAATGGCAATTTATTATGTGCTATTGTATTTCAATGTATTTTATCGTGTTGTAAGCCGCCCCGAGGCTTCGGCAAGGGGCGGCATAGAAATGTTATAATAATAATAATATTGTATTTCAATGTATTTTATTGTGTTGTAAGCCGCCCCGAGGCTTCGGCAAGGGGCAGCATAGAAATGTTATAATAATAATAATAATTTTTACACTGCTTGCACATCTTTTAAGTTCCCAGAATCCTTCAATTAACACTTAACCATTCAGCAAAGTAAAGCAAGAAACAGGTATGACAAGAGATCCCAAAATATGCAGTTTGTAACAGTCTTAAGAGGCACACCTACTCAGCCCCATCGCATTCAAAAGCACTTTTTCTAGATAATTGTAAGGTGAAGAATGTGCGTGTTTAAGTTAAACAATGCTGGGTGGAAAAGCAGCATTTCAGACAGTATCAAAGATCGTTAGAGCAAAGAAAGAAGCACAGTCAGTATCACAGAAGATAGAAATAATTAACGGCCTTTATACTTCCAGAAAATGAACAGTTACTGTGGGTTTTCTGTCCCTGTGGACTCAATGCATCCTGAAATCTACTTTGCCCTGTATCCAATACAATCTAATTTAGTCTGCATAACATCCCCTGCTTTATTTTTACTACATCCAGAAATGCACATTTAAAATAACAACAGTCAATAAAGTCTAAGATACTGTATATTCTAGGTCCTTTTGGAAAAGCAGTTTGTAAGTGCCACAAATCAAAAGATACATATTGTATGTGTCCCTACTTAACAGATTTTCTGCAGCAAGAAAAAAATGGAAGCGGTACAAAAACACAGAAGCATTACAAATGGATGACAATAATCTCTAGACCCCACCATAAAATCCTGTGAATTGGCAGGACAATTGCACAATAGAAGTCTTTGTCCAGAAGCATTCTGTCCTCATCTTTATTTCTTTAATTACACTTACATCCCCCATTTTTCCTTCAGCAAGAAGTCCAGAGCAACGTGCAGAGTCCCCTTCTTCCTTGGCTTATCCTCAAACGCACTGTAACGCAGGTGAGGCTGAGAGACTTTGGGTGATGGCCCAGAATCAGCTAGTGAGCTTCATAGGTGAGTGGGGACTAGAACCTGGATCTAAGGCCTGGTCCGATATGCTCGCTGCTACACCACATAGATTCTTCGCTCTTAAAGCAGGGAATAAGCACTAGTTACATCTTCACAATAATTAAATGAAACATCAGCAATATAAACTTACAATGTAGGTTCCAGAATGTAATGAAGTGGCCCTAACCCTATCAGCCATCCCAGCACTGGCCCAAAACTGATACAAAATGCAAATTTAGGATGATTTCCATGATGCCCAGTTTTAAGTCCTATTACCATCTCCTCTCCCATCTCTGTATTGGTGGAAATACTCATTACTTCATATGCGCATCAGTTCTGCTACAGGTGCTTTTAATCAGTTCTACAAAAACTTTAGAAGGCCAGATGCAGAAGATGAAACTCAAATGCTTTGGCCACACAATGAGATGGAAGGACTCCCTGGAGAAGAGCCTAATGCTGGGAACAATAGATGGCAAAGGAAGAAGGGGACAGACGAGGATGAGGTGGCTGGATGGAGTCACTGAAGCAGTTGGCGTGAGCTTAAGTGGACTCTGGGGGATGGTGGGGGACAGGGAGGCCTGGAGGAGTGTTGTCCATGGGGTCGTGATGGGTTGGACGCGACTTCGCAACTAACAACAACAACAAAAACTTTTGGGTTCCTGCTGCCTACCCCAGCCCACCCCTGAAATGGGCTAACACAATTACCTGCCATTTTTGTGCCTTGTCTTTAATCTATAATGCCAAATTGGACGCCTTCTGTTTGTGGGCGATGCTGTAGCATCACTGAGCCAAGGAGAGGGGGACTGCACCAGATGACCTCCAGCGTCCTATCCAACTCTACAGTTCCTTGCAAGGGAAAGCAAAGCCCTTCGCCAGGCAAAGTCGTTTGCACGCTGCTTTTGGTGCTGGGTTTCTTCTCTCGACGGCGCACTCCTCCTATTGGAGGAGGGGAGCTTACCATTATGACTGACCTATACTTTAAAGCACAAAACTATCAAGCCAGCAGTGAAAGCTGTCTAGTAGCACAGGAAAGCAAAAGCATGTAGCTTCCTATAGTGCCAATCACAACGTGCAAAGCCAAGAGAGGTGAGAGCAAAAGGAAAGATGCGCTGCTGGAGGTGATCTCTGCATTTGTCTCTCATTGCCAGGAAGGAAACATCAGACCATCCATGTTCAAATCTGCATACAAAAATAATGGTTCTGAAAGGAAAAATATACATTCTTTTGTTTTAAGTTCAGAAGTGGGGAAAGCACATCCCACAGCTTAATTTTAGAAGTCCTCTACAAGCTGTCAAAAGCAGCATCCCTCTACTGGAAGCTCACCAGTAAAGTTAGAAAGAAAAAATGAGCAAGTGGCACTCCTGC